GCCGTGACGTAGGTCAGACTCGTTAATTTTTAATTTTCCCAGCGTGTTTACGTTTTTTTTAAAATACTTTTGTTGTTTTTCTGTTTGTAAATTTGACAGTGCCGACATCAATTGCGAAGCGAAATTCCTAAGTTATCAATAGTTATTTCAAGAACTACAAAAACTGGAATTTTATCGAAACGGTGTCGAAATATCTGGAGACAAGTGTCTCTTGACGAAACAATTCGTAATTGATTCGGTTGTCTTATTACTGGTTACGAAATCTTTGCATACTCGTTGATGGTCATAAAAATGACGCGCAATTAAATTCCCACACTTTATTTCAAGTGCCATCAAACGCACTCACTTACAACTTACAAATTGTTTTAATTAGAAAGTGAATCGACTTAGAGTTATCCATAGTTTGTAAAAAGACTTAAAATTTCATTAATTTCCAATTAACAGCATAATTAGGGCGCGTAAAGCTCATTAGTCCTCATTCAGATCCAGTTTCGACCAAATATTTCCACCGAAATTATGCAATATCAGTGAAACTATTGTGTACATTGTACAAATATGCACTTAATTTGATATTATCTGATCGAATCTTGGCATCATGTTTCCGAGTCCACGCTAATGCAATTAACAGCGCGCCGGCGGCGATAAGAAGCGTCGAACTTTTTGGTGGGTCGGGATCATCCATTTAATATCACTATCAACGAAATATTAACCTTTGTCAAATGAATGCACAAAGAATGTGCTTGGCAGGTCGTTGCACCCGAATTCGATATATATGTATTGTATATATGTATATGCGCATAGTAGTAGATTCGTAATGATTTGGCTGAAATCTCTTATCGGGTATTGCACTTCAGTGTTTATGTGTGCACGCCTACTCCGTGCGTGACATTCACACATCATATTTTGTCATTATTCGCGCACTGCGCATTCTTTTTAATTCTCGCGACGGACGACTGTATTATGATACGCATAATTATTATTTATTGAGCTTCACAATAAATATTGCAGTGTATTGACCTCTGCTTGTTCTTCGGCTAAAATTTGCACTTTGACAGTGCGAAATATCAACCGATTAGAATCGGTTTTCAGTAATTTTTCGCATATTTACTTTAAATTTTCATGAATATCGATTTATTCTAGCGTTCTCTGTTTCAGTAAGTTGAAAAATATTAAAAATTAAGCAACTAGAAGGATTTTATAATTTTTATTTATAATCTCATGGAAATTAAAGATGGCATTGTCGTTGGCGTAAACAACTTTCTTGTCCTCTAGTTCTGGTCTGTTCCAGACTAACTCAAAGCGTTCAAAGTCAATATGAAGTTGCCATGCGAGTTAAGGTTGAGTACGTAAACATGCGTTCGTTGCGATTGTGCACGGCCGGTTCAAGCAACCCGGGTCCGGGTGTCTGATGGCCACGGCCACGACGCCACCGGCCAGATGATACCCTTGCCATCGTGTAAGGTGCCGCCGACTGCTACGTGACGATACGGAGCACACTTCCAACCACTTTCCCGACCAACTTCCAGGAGCATTGCACCTTTAGGTACTATGTGTTTATTTTTAGACTCCATTAACGTAAACCATTTTCTATCTCCTCCTAATTTAACTCAAGATAATGTAGTTATCCAACATACGCGAAAGGCGGTAGGATGAATATCAATCAGTTGTTCATTCACCTCGAAGTATTGTTATTCATCGATTATTATTTGTTTTGCATTGAACGTAAATAAAAGAAACGAAATTTGCACTTGTTTTCATTCCTCCACATCTTCCCGTTGTCTCGGACGCGTTTAATTTCCTTGCAAAACAAACAATTCCCAAGAATTTTATTATAAACCCATTTATCAGTTACGATACATCATACGTTACGATGTGCTCTTGATTGAAGAATAAACGTAAACAAACAAACAAACGCCATAAATAAAAGTGTAAACAACTTGCGAACTGACAACAAAAAAAAACATTTGCGATGTATAATAGTGAGTGAAACATAAAAAAAATGTGTAACTAATGAAATGGAATTAGCGGAGGACATTTACCCAGGTTTTAGTAAGTAAATATTATCAAAACAACAAACAACGCTCTCGGTGCGATTGAACTCACTCACTCGGTGGTGTGATGATCGTGGTATCCCATCCTCACGAGGACCTCTTGTATCGTGCCATGTCTATGACTTGTTATGTAAACGGCGGCACGAATTATATTAGAGCAGTAAACAAGACATAAATAATATAGATGACTAATAGTAAGACACGCCGGCGCCGGCGTCGAGCAGGAGGAGCGCAAGACAACATCCAAACAAAACTTTGTCCTCGAACTCGGAAAAAATGCCCATGGTAATGACCCTCGTATCGATAGAGTATTACTTCGAGAAAAACATCCGCAGTGCTTTAAATAGAATAGAATGCTGTAATAAAGATTACTTGCTTAAATTATTACAATGTTTACATGTCTACGATTTTCTAATATCAATCATTATCAGACATTGATATAAGTTTTTTTCTTTTGAGTAATTTTTACTTTCATTTTACGTTTAATTGTGTTGAGTAAAATTAACCTTAGGATAATTTTGAGTTCCTGGACGAAAATGCGCATCGCAGAAGCATGGAATATTTACTTATACACGCTGTGCGATTTGAACTTGTACTTGAGAAATCACAATGCAGCGTTCAGCAATAATCATCGATTACTTGACTGGTAAAGCACGCCAGACTTCGGAATTCCGTTTTAATGCTGCGGGTGTAAATAAACAACAACAGAACATCCCAAGCGCGTTGTATTGACCGCAGGAGAAAAAAATAATTGAATGTTGTTATATTAATCATTATTGTAACTCCAACAAAGTAATTATTGCGCTAATTGAGTTATTAACTTCATTTTCTTTCGGTGTTTACTTAATTTATACTTAACCTAACATATCATAAATGGTATGCTACCAAATATGCACAATAGACAAACAAAATCGCAGGTATTTATTGTCTGATTGTTGACTTATATTGCAGCAATATTTTTATAGCAACCAGTCCCTACATTCTGAAGATGTAGGTACTTAAAGAAGTACGAACACATTGTTAACTCGTGTGGCAGTAAAGTTTATGAGAAGCAAAGTTCAAGATTATTTAGCACACTCGGACTCGGCCGGAACAGTTGGAATCGTAAAAAAGTTTTTATGAGAAATATAGGTAAGGGCCTGATGCACGCCTGTTGACCTAGTCTTGGTTAGAGTCGTGAAAATATGTGTTTAAAACGGCATTAAAAACACGACCATCTTGTAGGGTAAGTGCTCTCCACGTGAAATATAAATAAAAACCAGAGAGCAAGGCGAATGCGCGCCTGCACGGCTTGGCCGAAAATTGTTATCGAAATACAAAGGACGAAAATTAACCATCCCATAACTGACCAGGAAGTTTTTTGCGCGGCGCGTCATAAAACCCGCACAAAAGAAAGAAACGCGAGTTTCGTCGCGACGAACGGCACACGGCACTGAATTTACAAAATGATTTTATGCTTATTTACGTAATTACACGCGAGGATAAGCGTACGAATAACACGAGATGACGAGTCTACCTGAAAGAAATGATAAATGAACAAATGCTTTGCGACTCGCAAAAAATTGGCTAGACAGACCTCTGGACGATGATAATTCTTGCATCAACATCGACTCCCCACACAAACGAAGAGTAGAGATAGAATTTAATTCAAAATAAACATATGTAGGTTTTAATATGGCTTACATTGTAGCAAAAATGATTAAAATTGCATTTTTTATATTCATATTAGGCGTGTTTTAATTTTGCAACGTACTCGAAGTGACACAAACGAATGGAGTCAACGTGTTCAGATCGGTTAATTATCTGTCGACCTTGGCACGTTTTTTTCATTCTTCATCTGGTTATTGAATAAATTTAACTTTTTGTTTTCGGTTAAATAGGTAATAACAATTCGTTTAGCCGATGATAGTTTACACTCCGAAATAATTGACGTCGCAATCGTTTCGTTTCGCATTAAGTTCTAAAATTACTATTATCAATTAGAGTGTAATATTTGCTTGCCCTCAACAATATTAATGAATGAATTCTGAACTATTCACCAATATACTACGATATGACTATGTTAATTTAACTTGAACAACTATTTGATGTTTAACATCATTTGATACTTTGCACTTGATTTGTAGTTGTGATTGTAAATAATGACCCGTTTATATTTGACCCATTTTTATTGCACGAGCAACTATCACAATTGCCGGCGTGGAAGTGTGTGTATTGAGTGCAAATGTTAATATTAAGCTATTGATTACATTTCATCATTCGCATAACGAAATCGTAATCGAAGATGTGTTAATTGATTAAAATTTTAAACTTATTCTGGGGTTAATAACACTTTTAAGTGGATAAAATTCCGCACTAGTAAATTAATTAGTTCCCGAAACGATGTCAGCTTGTAATGGTTTCATTATTTTATCCACGTGCGATTGATAAAATTTATTATTTTGTTTCAACGCAATCGAAAAAATTTCGTTTTTGCAATTCATGTTGGTTCTTGGTTTTGTTGTCATGAGCAGTACAATACAACTACAACACACAATCAGCAAAGATTAGCCAATTGCCTTGACATTGTTTACCGAAACTACAGAGAACGAAAGACGTACAATTACGCAACACGTTTTAATTTAGTAGACGGATTATCGTTAAATGCTGTCTGCGTGTTCACGAGCAAGAAAAGTAGATGTCTAGCAGAAACCGTGCGTAAGAGCGAAACGATTAAAACATCACAAGAAATTTGCTTGGTCCCTGAGGGATAGACATAAAATAAATAAAATAAACTATCGATGATTAATGCAAATGGCGATTAAAATGTGTTAACCTTCAGACTAGCAAATGAGATACTCAGAATTGTTACAATTAATAAATTTATTTAAATTAAATTTGTGTTATTTCAATTTTTTCTTGTAGAATAATTTAATAACCTACAACTTGTGCCATTTTATTTTGTATTAATTTATATTTAATTGAATACCCTGTATTGGGTTCAATATTCTGAATTTTCTGAACGGTGGTTGAAAAGTTGAAATGAACGTGCAAATCGGTGATATATCAACCAAGAAAATTTCCAAAACTAATAAGGTACGTTCCTAATGATTTTATATATTCAATTAATCAATACCTGTATAAAGAAATCCAAAAATATTATCGAAAGATCGCAAATTTGGTTTATAAACAAATAACGTTGTAGGTTAGTTATTGATTCACGAAAATAATAGCTTTTAGTACCACTAGCGGCATCTTCACGCAGTTGCATTGAAGCTTTACAAGGATAAAATAGTTAGCAAAGCCATTGCTTACAATTCCTATGAATTTAATTGTTTAACAACTGTTTAATTAAAGATTATTTTCTATTTTGTTTGTTTAAAAATTAGGAGCATATCCTGCGCGTCACAAACTACAAATCTGGCGAAAAAGTCACATACCAAATAGTATTACTAAAGGGATACGTAACAAATCAAAATTGTATAAAAAGCCAACAAAATATAATCGTCCAGCAAGAATTCTACTCAGTTAGCCCAAAAAACACGTTTAAGGCGCTGGTTAAATTACAAGAAGGCTCTAATATTATATCGTTAAATTACTGCTGTCAAACAATAAACTTTGAACTTATATATGAAGTGCCAAGAAATAAAAGACGCTACGTTACTCCACTTTATGTGGTGTTCCAAGGGCATGATGGTTCATTTCAAACGCCTGCAGGACAACCAAATAATCCACCAGTGGCAATCGAAAAACTACAACTTAACTGCCAACTTATTCAAACAATACTCGCTGAAAAACTTTACGAAACACATCAAAAGCATCTTACATTTCATTTGACTGAACCAAAGATATTTAAAAGTGAAATAAACATTGAAGAATCTCATAATATAGACCCAAGTGAATTATTTCACAAACTGGCATGCGAAATTGAAAAATCACAATATGGAAGTCCAGATATCAAACATATTGCATTTCTCTCTGGGATGCAATATCATGGAGAACTTTATAAGGAAGGAATGGATTATCAAGAGGTAATAAAAATAACACAGCAATATATTGCTTTGGGACGTGGAGGGCTTGCTGTTTTTCATACTGCATGTTTATATACATGGCCAGAAAGACTCCAGGATGTGATCAAAGCGTTCCTAGATGAAACACCAATAAATAAACAGGAACTATTGGATGATAGTAATTATCGTGGGACGTTTGGCACTTGTTATTCGACAACGCTAGGGTCAGTCCTTCATGAACTCTGTCATACATTTAATTTAGGACATGCAGAGGTCGGAATTATGAGTCGAGGATTCGACGATGTGCGAGATATATTTTTAGTTGATAGTGTTGATGCTGTGGAAGCTGACCAAAGAAGAGGAGCGCATGGGATTACGGATTCTACTGCTTTACATAAAAGTGGCGCACAAATTTTACGATATAACAAGTGAGTATTACTTGTAAACAAATTTAGATTTATTGTAACACTTTATTTGAACATGTAGGTGGTTCCTTCCTGATGAACGCGATTTACCCTTCACATTAACATTCGATTCATTACACAACGTAGTACAATCGTCTTGGGGAGTACGGGTTGTAGAAGTTCGATCAGGCGATGAAGAAATCATGACGCAAAATTTTATTTATTCTGTAGCTAAGATGAATCTTCAACTTCAGTTAAGTGAGTTGAAAACCAAATCAAAGTTATTCATACAGGATTCAAAAGGAAACTGGATAAGTCAAGACATAAACTAAATTTAGAATCTATTCGATTTATTGTACTAGAACTAAATTAAGTTATTGTTGACTAAGCTTAAACTTCTCCTCCATTTGTTTTCCATTTTTATGGATGGCAACCAGTAGTTTATCAACAAGCGTTTCAACTGCTGATTTGGTCAAAACCAAAGTGTCATGCTTCAACATGGAGTAGACATTGAGGCCATACACTGGCATGATATTCATGTGCTTGATGATATCTGTAGCAACGGTTATATTTCTTGGCATAATGTCAACACTAAAAAATATACATTAATATAAATAATTTTTAATTAGTTTGTGGAATTTACTCATTGATGAATAAGACTGATGGTCCCCAATTTCTGCTTTTAGCCATCTCTTCCAAAAATGTATATTCATCAGTTGGTAATTCAAGATCATTCACAATATGCAAATCATCCTGTGCTAGTTTTACAGATAAAGTGCTTGTGAGTCCCAGGACTCTTTTATAGAAAGGAAGCATGTAAAAATGAGGGGTTGGTGATCTAGGGCCATGGATAACACCACCTCCCTTGAAGAGTGGACTTCTGATTGAACTGTGCCTTGATCTACCCATTCCTAGTTTAAAAATGTCATAACATTGTGATTTACTTAAACTTTAATGATAGTATTACCTTTTTGGGGCCATGGTTTTCTTCCACCTCCTCTAACTTCTGATCTAACTTTGGTGTTTGCAAAACTGACAAATTTGTACAACTGTTGCCATCTTACATTCTGATGGATTACATCAATCCGTGGTCGAGCTGCAAATATCTCTGGATGTAAGTTAATGATACCAAGTTTTTTCTCATCAATGGTATCAAAGTTTTCTAGCCATGCTTGACGAGGTTCTACATAGCTCAAACGATTCTCTGCTAATGGATGATCTATGTTGATTAAACTCGAGAATGGTTTAGCTATTGCGGTCTTTATGTTTGGTACACATTTCGATAGTTTATTCATCAACATTTTTGTACAATTATTATCAATTGCGATATTTTAAGGCACCGCTAAAGAGAGGTTAAGATTTTTTTTTGCATGTGTGAGTAGACATTTACAAAGTGTTGAAAAATATTCGAACTTTTCGAAAAGGCAACCAACAAGTTTCTATTATGTCGATATATGAAAAAAATACTAGAAAATATTATCGTAAACTGTTTGTGTCCTATTTACATCAATTTCTCATTGATTAAATTACATTTGCTTGTGTGGCTTTAGAGTTGGCGCGGCATGCTTGTCAAAATAATAAACAAGTTCCACGCAGTTCAATCTAACCTGTGTTTCCATCGTAACGTTGACAGAAAATAAGTGCAGCAGCTTCGTGACATGATAAAATTGTGCGTGCAAAATTAATTATGGATAAAGCAAAAGTATTGAATAAAAAGACACCTGGCTCGCCACCAGTAATGCCTCAACCATCGGCAACGGTCGAAGAAGCAAACTATTTACCCATTCTTATAGCAGTTTTTGTTATATTTATCACTCTAGGTGAGTAAAACATATTTCATTTATACAATTGCCTCATAAAACTGATTTTGCAGTACTGTTTATAATCTACAAACGTAAGAAGTCGTCAAGGCGTGGAATACTCATCACTGGCTTGTGTGACAGTGGTAAAACCCTGTTATACACAAGACTGGTTCATGATAGGTTTGTTTTAACACAAACATCCATCAAAGAAAATATTGATGAATATGCCATTAATGCGGTAAGCATGATATGGTTGTTTAAGAAAGTTAGTTGGTAATTTTTATTATAATTTTGTATAGAAATCAGTAAAGATTGTGGATATTCCTGGTCATGAGAGACTGAGAGGACAATTTTTGGACCTGCATAAATCAACAACCAGAGGACTGATTTATGTTATAGACTCCCAGAATGTACAGAAAGACATCAAGGATGTGGCAGAATTTTTCTACAACATTCTTACTGACCCTGTCATTTATTCAAACAGTCCTGCAATTTTAATTTTGTGCAATAAACAGGATCAACCTTTGGTGAAGAACTCAAAAGCAATTAAAACATTGCTTGAGAAGGAATTGTAGGTTGAACTATTAGCTCTGCTTTAAATATTATTGATTATTTGATTTCTAGGAATACTTTAAAACTGACAAAGTCCAGCCAGTTGGAATCACTTGATGCAAATGCCAAGAGTGCAAATGTTTTACTTGGAGAGGAAGATGAAGCATTTACTTTTGCTGCCATGTCACAATATAAAATTGATTTTGCTGATGCATATGCTACTAATGATGATAAAGAGTGCAATATTGTAGATGTTGAGAAGTGGTTGGCACAAATTGTATAAATATGCCAGCATCTACTTAATTTATTGTTGCATGTTTACATGTTTATTGAATGTATTAAATTGATGTTATAGGTATAATCATTATTACCTTTGTTTCTATAAATTTGATGCTATTGTGTAACAAGGAAGCGATTTTTTTAAAAGAAATAACAGTTTCAGCTAAACTAAAGTATTTCCTATTGTTTCATAAATAAAATGCTTCAATTCTACTATTGTGTGTTCTATACGGATCTTATGATATGTTTGTTATAAATAAAAAGTATTTTTACAACAAAATTTTGAAATATTATTTAACATAACCCTACAAATCATTCATCTGCCAAAGTTCATATCATACGGATTTAGGAATCCGTTCATCGTTCATTGTCTCTAAATTATCAGTACAATGATGTAGAATTCAGAAAATGTTCATTGTTCAACTTCATAAATCCTACCATCTGTGCAGGTACTCATTCTTCAGCATACTTTTATTAAAGTAACCTAATTGTGTCTCCTTTCAGAGCTTCCAAAATACTCATCAACAGCTCTGCCAATTTGTTCTCACAGTCTACTAGCAAAGAATATCAAGCTAGAAAATTAGTAGGGTTTGTATATTATATATTGACTATATCCTTAGACCCATTTACTTTATTTTTGCATTTATTTTACAGATTTTCAGAAGCTCAAATGTATTCTGTAGTCTCAGATGTAAAAAACTATCAATCATTTGTTCCATTCTGCACCAAATCAAAAATACTCAAAAAGTATGAAAACAATCTGCATGCCACATTAGAAATAGGCTTTCCACCAATAATTGAGAGCTACACATCTCATGTAAAGTTGATAAAACCACAATTTGTCAGTGCAAAGTGCAGAGATGGAACACTGTTCAATTATCTAGAAACTACATGGAAGTTTTCACCAGGCCTTGAGAGTAATACCCAAACTTGCATTGTGGATTTCTACATTAGGTTTGACTTTAAATCAGTGATTTATTCTCAAGTTGCACAAATGTTTTTTGAGAAGTTGGTGCAGCAGATGGAATGGGCATTCATTTCTGAGGCTAAACGACGTTTTGGAACTGAAAGTGTACCTAGTTATAGCTTAACAGCTCCGCCACATAGAGCTAGTTGACATTAGACCAATAAATATGAAATTTTAGTTAATTATATATGCAAAAGAAACGACAATGAGGTAAAGATTAATTTTTATTGATATTGGTTTAAGAACAGAATAAATCTCATAGAAAAATATTGTATTGCTTTCTTTAACTTGTTTATCAGAGATTTTAATTGTATATAAATGTACATATTAATATGTGATATGTATTAAATAAAGTTATTTTGGTTGTTGTAAATATTTCATTTTTGAACTAGCATTTTAAAATTCACTGCTCTACAAAATTACTCAGAAGCAAGTCCGTCTGTACGCTGCTGCCCTCTGAAATTATGACATAACTAACTTCACAAACATAACCGCAGATTATCCAAGTATTTAAGAATGGCTGGTGTTTTTCGCATTCAGAGCGCATTTTTGCGCCGTTTACTGCCACAAATCAACAAACGATTGATTTCTACATCCAAGAAGAATGCAGATAGCGCAGTAGCTGAAGTAACCGAAACCGTGACGAAGACCAAAGCAAAGAAAAACTGGATCAGTTATGGGTTTGACAAGAAATCAGAGGAAGCAGATCTGAATGCATTGCATTCTGTAATGTTTGCCGCAGTCACCGTTTGCTTGATTTTCGGTGGATTTATAATGAGTTATGCTCCCGACTACAGTTTGCACGATTGGGCACAACGTGAGGCCTTCTTGGAGTTGAGGAGAAGAGAAGATGCAGGACTTCCTTTAATAAGCAAAGATTTAATTGACCCAAGCAAAATTGTACTGCCATCTGATGAAGAACTAGGTGACACTGAAATCATTATTTAAATTTATAGTCAAATTGTGGAATCAATTGTAAAGAATGATGTTAATTAATTAAAGTTGGACATGTACAACTAATAGTGACTTTGTATATAATTTAATTTGGGGAATGTCAACTTCAACATTGAGTACATGTTGAACAAGAATTAATTTGATTTTTTTATAATTTACACATCCATTTATATCCTATATTCATATTGTTACAGAACATAACATAAATGATACATTTAGAGCCCCCGCACACTACAAACTTTTTATCGGCCGATATTTTGATCGGGTTGGGCTGTGAGCGCGCACACTACGCCAACTAAACAGTTGGGTTTGTGGTGAGTGCGCACACTAGACAACAGTCGGCCGACTACTTTTACTTTGTCAGCTACCGTTGAAGAGAGCGGTCGCATAATGAAAGTTAATAGTAATACAATATTGTCCAGAAATATTATTATCATTGCTCTGATACAACGGAGGAGAAAAATCAAGAGGAGAGTCCGAGAGTTTTGGGTGCATCCCATCCACAGTGATAGGTTATTAAATGGAAAATTTTACACGATGCATTCAAAACTACTGGATTTCCCGAAAAATTTTTTCACATTTTATCGGATGACCATAACTAGCTTCATACCTGTGGAGGAGAGATTGAGCGTCACTATTCGGTAAATTAAACCACTATTTGTTTATTTAACTATTTATTAAAATTACAAAATCATAAAGTGTTTAAACAATTAATTGTTTACAAGTCGTTTATTTGCGAATCATCTGAATAATTTCTTAAGTAACACTAAGGTGTATCGTTGGAATTGCCTGGTGAGGAAATGTTTGTCTGTGGTGATATGGGAGATGGAGTTGAAGTAGTTGTATACGCCTGTAATGGTTGTGGTGACAAGATGTTAACCCCTCGATGCTGCAATATATTGTTGTTACATGATGACTGAGAAGTAGATTGCCTGGCTATTCTTATCTGCTTAAAAACGTTAAGAATACCAATCTTAGCATCGAGTTTTTCTTCTGCGGTTAAATTTTGTAATGAAGGGATAAGAGATAAAGCGAAATTTATATCTTCGTCAACACGCGGTTCATTTAGGGCTTTCAATAATGCTTCATCTAAATCCGTATGCTTCGGTAAATTAGCCCTCTTCTTCCGCTTAGGGATACGTGTAGAAGTAGATGGACCAACTTCGTCATCATCTTCGTCAATTTCTGGAGAATTTTCCTCTGTCAGGTTACTATCCGTTTCTCTATTTTCTACGCATGAAAGTAAAAATAGTAGTTGCTCAAAGTAGACATATCTACGCCTCTTGATCGCAGCTTGTCCCGACTTTGTGTTCTTTTGTGCATTCAACTCTCGGCGAAAACAAGTCCGTAAATTAGCCCATTTCTTTTGCACCTCTCGACCTAAAAAAAAAATACAATACACTTTAATGCAACCACATAGAAAAGTGATGTGTGATGTTATTTACTTAATATTATACAGATATTTGGCTACTGGAGCAAGTTTCAATACGTTGTCCTTTGATTATCTAATGGGAGCTTCAACCATTCGAAATATTACGAAAACTACATGTGAGCAAATATGGAACATACTCCAACCGCTGTATATGCCCATAAAACAACATGATGACTGGATTAAAATTGCGGACGAGTTCTATAGTCGTACAAATTTTCCAAATATTATTGGGGCAATAGATGGCAAGCACATACGGATGATGCAGCCAGAACATTCCGGATCGTCATATTTTAACTACAAAAAGTTCTTTTCTTGTGTGTTAATGGCTTGGACTGACGCAGATTATAAATTTGTATACATTGATGTTGGTTCTTATGGAACGGCTAGTGATTCAGAAATATTTAAAACATCTGAAATGGGTAAACGACTTTCCGAGAACCGATTAAATATTCCCTCCGGCAGGTATTTGCCCAATTATGATGATGAACATGTTTATGTAAGTAAATAAATAAAAATGTATACCTAAATATTAAAATAAAACTTTGTTTTCAAAGCAAGATTATTGTGTTAGGTATATGTACATAATAAATAGTTACGTACCTTCTTTCATTTTGTCTTCGGCACTACGTTCATTCCATCTAGGAACAACCGCTTCACAAACCTCTTCCCACAACTCTTTCTTTACGTTTATATCAGAATATTCTTTTAATTGTTTTTTATAAAGTGCGGGTCTTTTTTCAATTTCTTCTATTAAATTTACAATGGACGTTTCCATAACCAGCGATGCAGTAGAATTGAGCTGCGACATAATGAAAACAAAATGCACAATCACTCAGCACCAAAACTCGGAGCGAACTGATATCGCAGTCGGCCTGGTTGGCCGATAGTTTAGTTTGAACGCAGTTGGGTAGCACATCAAACTTGTTTATCGGCCGATACAAAATCGTTGTAGTATGCGGACTTGCATACATCTTCATACTGGTTATAAGCCCGACCAAACTATCGGCCGATAAAAAGTTTGTAGTGTGCGGGGAGTCTTAGTTCCCATTGTGGTTCCTATTTCCAAACTGGGAACTTCCCTAGGTTAGAATTACAGATGGCAACACTGTGAATTGGCACGAGGTCGCTTCGACCGGCTCGCCGATGCTCGACTACGTTCGCCACCTTCAGTGTGCGATAGGCGTTGCGTTTGTTGATTAGAATCATCAGCGGTGGTGCGCGATTATGTGTCATCGTTGTTAATTCGGTGAATTGTGATCGTTTTCAATATCAAGTGTGCAGTGAAAATTGTGCATTTCGATTTGGATTAGTGTGCTTTCTCAGGTAGGCAAATGTTTCATTCATAGTACCTCAATAAGTAATTTTTTTCGTTAAAAATAGGGGCTTCAACCACCCACGCCGGGGTTATGTTTTTGTTTAAGGGTTGTCAATAAATAAATTGATCGCACATGCTTTAGATATATGCATACACATGTCCCCTGCTTTAATGCGCATTTAAATTCGCGAATTTCTTTGAAGTTAAGCCGTTAAGAGCGTCTAAACAAATCCTAACTTAACCTCACAAAATTTGTTTATATTTTCTAAGATATTTTTTATGAGGAGTACATGTGATCTGAAGCGTAAACAAATATTTTTGTTTTTGCATTTATTAAACATCTGAATAGTTTTTATAAGATACGAGTTAGTAGAATGTTACTTTCGGTTTTTATTTAGCATGGAGACATGAATCAGTTATGATTCAGAAGAATGCATCATTTCTTAAATGCTAATGAGAGTAATCTGTGGATTGTTTAATATTTCAATTGTTAGGGTAGTAGTTCATGTAAATTGTGGGTGAATGGAAATTTTATTCCTTAGTTTCTCATCTCATTTCTTCATAGTGTGTGTTTATTTCAATCTTCGCCTTCGACGAATCAAAGCACATGATTGTGCAGCAGCTGTGCATTTCTGCCTGACCACCTGCTTTTGTCCAAAAAGGTTCTTCTCATCTTGTATTACCACATTCGCTCTGCCACTAGAAGGCATGCAACTTATAAAGATTTACATTTCTCGTCGTGATTTTTGAGTCTTGAAATTTATGTTATAATGAACTTTATAATGCATTTTTAAACTTCTTACAATTACGCCATGGCATGTGCGAGATTTTTATTGTGTTTATATTGGTTCAAAAGTGTTGAAATTCTTAAATTCACAGATGTGTGTTTTCCATACTGAGTGTTAGCCCTGCTTGTATATTCTTTATGACACATTTACAATCTGTTTACGGCATTTGTCGTTTACAATAATAAATTATTAGAGTAACTCCTCCAAACATTCTGAAGCGTGAATTATTCAAGCATTGCGTACGATAAAATCTAATAAAAAATAACTTTGCGACAGTTCTTAGGGAAAATCAAAAGTTGAACTAATTTCTCAAAGAGTACATTACATGCACTCAATTGCAGTCGAATGATTTTTAAAGAGTTTGAACTAGTTCAATACTAGGTCGTTGTTTAAATTTTAATGCATTCGTGCTGCACCGACCTTATTACGGATCAATTTAGTTATAAGCCAACGTATTTCCTATTGTAACTTATATTGGTGTACCTACTATGTTACTCCAATAATATATTCTATGAAAATCTCTTTAATGAATGAAACATTACCTCTTCTATGCATATTTGATAGTCTATTAAATAATTCTGCGCGATGAAAGTGGAGTATTTCGATGGTTACTTGCGTTTCGCACTCGGTTTTGCTTGGCAAATTAAGTTTCAATTGCAATAAATTGTTTTATATCTTTACCAAGGCGGGTACTTGCAATTGCGTAAATAGAATGACACACAAGTCCTCTCCATTCAAGCAATCGAATGAATGTGCGTGTAGGATTAATGGCTATATCAAATAAATCATTCAATTCTGTGTTCCTACATGTTTAATATGCACGCATGCTCGCGTTGAGACACTGTCATTATTAAATGATTATTAAATGATAATTTGTGATGTAGTTATCATATTATATCACGACAACTTCTTTATTATCATCATGTAAAATCTAAATTGTTCAATCACTGTTGTTATTTTTGTTTTATTTGATGATATTCTCAATTTGTCAGTTCATTGGACTGTTTAGTAGTGTATTCACGTGTATATTCGCTTGACAAAGCTTTTGCACTACAGGTGCATGCTTTGTTTTGTTTATTATTCTTTTTTAACCGGAAGGACGCGCCGACGTCCGCTTATGACTCAAATGCCCGTAAAAACATCAACCGGCACTACCAAGTTGATTATTTATCAACTTAAACGAAGGCGTAATTGAAATTTCATGTAGTTGCAATCTTTTTGTTTCAGTGCGTGAGTCTACCCAGTGTACGACCACATCAGCGTTCTTCATCTAGTCATCGACGTTCATCGTGTGCGTGTACCGTGTGAGTGCATCCGCGTGTGCGTCGCTAGCCATGAAGTGGTTGCAGCAGGGTGTGCTACCAGCGGTGGTGCTGGTGGCGTTCGCGAGTGTTGTGTTGTGCGATGATACCACGCACGGGCCGGTTTTCGAGCGTGAACCGCCGAATCGTGTCGATTTCTCGAATACCACGGGAGCTGTAGTGGAATGCCGTGCTCGCGGCTCTCCACAACCGGAAATCATCTGGGTGCGTGCTGATGGTACCGCTGTCGGTGATGTACCTGGCTTGCGCAAGGTCCTCGCTAATGGTAATCTCGTATTCCCGCCGTTCCGCGCCGAGGATTACCGTCAGGATGTGCACGCTCAGGTCTACTCTTGCTTAGCTAAGAACTCCGTGGGTACCATCAATTCCAGGGATGTTAACGTTCGTGCAGGTAGGCGTCAAAGAAAGATTTCAATGTTTTATTTCGTACATGCGAAAGTCTATCTCGAAGAGATTATCTCTGTTGTATTGTATTGTATGGTGGGTGCAGAACTAAACAGGAAAAGTTTGCAAGTAAAGTACACGGAATACCGATGATCGTGTGGTTTTAAAGTTTAGCTCATCTTTGTCTCGGCAGAGCTTTTAAACTTTTTGCGACTTTGCTCATTTTATGAATATACGAAAATTGGTTGCGTATTTAGGTAAGTAGCTGGTTAGGAACTCACTTATTCAGAGTATTATAATGTCTTTAGAACTTCAAAGCTACATTTCTGATGAAAGTTATAAATAGATTCCAAATCTTGAAAGACATATTCTTGAAAGAATATTTACAAGACACTGCGTTGTGGTTCACTAAGTTTAAATTTTAAAATAAACACTATTGGAAAAAGTACGCGATTTTTGGTTTTATGGAAAATTAATTTTAGACATTATAAATATCCCTTGGTACATATTCTAAATTTATCTTGTTATTATCTTAGTATATGCTTTCGGTCTTAAGCAAACTTTATATTTCATAAGAAAATCTTGCTTTCATTAATCTACCAACCACGCCTGGAGATGTTTGAGTATAAATTTACATTTTTATGAGACGCCTCTAGAATTTTATGCACATTTTTGAAGCTACAATGCCAAGTGCAGTGTACATTACAGTTGGTGTTGTGCTTTTCGTATACATCGTTGCGTGCAACATCAAGATTTAACTGCTTCCTTGTTTGAAATAAGTGCAAGTGCAATCAAACGAATAAAACGCTTGAGGATTTTGTTGACAGTGCATGGGCGTGCGTTGCGTACATGCCAGAAACAGGATAGGAGTCTTGATGTGTAACAACATCGTCACACACTGATTGTTATCTCAATAAATTTAAATTCTTATCAAGTGCATTCTTGTTTCAAGAATAAATTGTAATTGCATAGCACAGTGTGCATGTTTTACGAACCTGTGCACAGTGTGCACAGCTCTGTTCACAGAAGCGTAAAATCACTTTAAGTAACTTATTATTTTATAATTAAAAAAAACTAAGGTAATTGAGTAATTAGTTATATGTTGAGACGTGCTATGCACACCAAGTAGACATATAACATTTAAACTTTTTCGTTGGGGTTGTAGTTTAAGTAGACGGATGCATTTCAACATTTTTTCCACTTTCAGCGTGTTTCGTGGGTCTTGAAACAGATTTATATTTAGACACATTTTTGCCGATGTCCCTTCTCGCGGGAATTCAATCCCTCTACGAAAACGTCTCAGACTAAACTGAATTGATGCCATCGTGACTCGCCGCGGTTTCTTGCGGCAGAATTCAAAGTTTTCAAGTTTTCCTACGGCTTGTACTGCTGCGCAACTTGCCACTTTTACTCAGTGTTAACATTCTACTTACTTTATTACTTCTAACATACGTGTCTCTTGGAGAATATATATATCGTTATAATCTTCAGAGTACGTACTTTTGTTTATGATGACATCTTTAAAGAGATGGAATTTTTATGTTTTGAGTCATTAAATTAATTATACAAGCGATGGACATTTTTTCCGTTAATTTTTTTGTTGATTAATTTGATGTTTTAGGGATTGACGCCACTTTATTACATTTATTTAGGTTGATACGGGTTAGGTCTATTAAATATTAACATTATCAAGGCGCCTACCTCGTTTACTAGCTACTGGCACGAGAAAATAAACGGAAAATATAAGTGATTTATTAGCTTATGCGTATTTCAAGCAGATTCTTATTCTATTTTTTTTATTAAAAACCTTTGTATGTCAACATTTCGTACATTATCCACATCGGATCTGATTATAATGATGCATGGGAGCAGCAAAACATTGTCTGAGCTGAACTAAAGCGCAAAACGAGGTCGTTCGCTCGCCGGGTATTAAACCATTCATGACTGGACAGTAAGCCAGGTCTGTCCTGTGCATCCACACGCGATCCACAAGTAACGAGAGTACATGTTGCACTTTGTTACGCGCTTTTTACATATAAATTCTCCTTGTCGCTCCGCTCCCTGTCCGCGTGTGGAGCTGGGCTTGGAGACCAACTAATTGTGAGCACTTAGTGCGAGACAGCCAGCGCGTTGCCGCTTGAACGAATTAATTAATTTGCAGTTGGATAACAAATTCGATGAACACACTCGAAGTAAAAGTTGAAATACTGCTAATTTCAAGCAACACACTAGTATTAAACGGTTTTTATTAGTCATATTTGCTATTTATAAGAAGAATGTATTCTATGTAAATATGTAGTGCAAACGTTTATTCATGTTTAGTTCTGCATCTTATAAATATATTTTTTCAGGATTGTATTGTTTTATATTTCAGAATTTCCAGATATTTTCTTTCAGATGTCTATATTTAATATATGTGTGTATGTTAATTGGCAATTCTTACAGTTGTCGCGCAGTTTTACGATACGGATGTGAATAAAGAGTATGCGATCCGCGGCAATTCGGTGATACTGAAATGTCAGGTGCCATCATTTGTCGCCGACTTCGTCGCGGTCGTCTCGTGGCACACCGATCAGGGCGAGGAATTTCTGCCCGGTGCACCCGACGGTAACAGCGTGCACACACTTAGAATGCGTTTTTTACCATTGCAGTCGTGCAGCAATTCTACCAAACGGAAGTGAATAACGAGTACGTCATCCGTGGAAACTCGGCCGTGCTGAAGTGCTCGATTCCGTCGTTCGTCGCTGATTTTGTCAGCGTCGTATCGTGGACCGATACGGACGGCAACAATTACAAGCCGGATCATAGTGCCATCGACGGTAATTTCCACGGATGAATGCTGAACCGAATGATGCTGCTTTCCCAGTTCCGGTCACAAAAATTTAACCCAGATGCGTTGATGTATTGCTGCTCAGTTTTCCAAACGATTTTCAGTTGTCAATCAGTACTACGAAGCTGAAGTCGTCTCCGAGTACGTGATCCGTGGTAATACGGCCGTGCTGAAATGTAATATCCCATCGTTTGTCGCGGATTTCGTTCGTGTCGAAGCCTGGGTTGGAAACGACAATCGTGTTTTCACTTATTCCGACGAATACGGTATTTTGAATTGAGAAAATCATATACCCGTCGGTGAAAATTAAAGTACCAGATGCGTGGTTCAAGTTGTCAATATAATTATCGCCTTTTTACAGTGGTTAATCAGTTCTATAAGGCTGAAATTCTCACCGAGTACGTGATCCGAGGCAACACGGCTGTTTTGAAGTGTAGCATTCCTTCGTTTGTCGCCGATTTTGTATCGGTGGATGCGTGGTTAGATGATCAGGGCAATATACTAACTATTGCTAATACCGATTACGGTAATTCGCCCCGAATGATATATTTTATTGGTGCTTGCAGTGGTTTCACAGTTCTACGTGACGGAAGCTGAAAACGAGTACGTCATACGTGGCAATAGCGCTGTGGTAAAGTGCAAGATACCGAGTTTTGTCGCTGATTTCGTGCTGATTGATTCGTGGGTCTCCGATAATGGCAATACATACCGCCAACAAAACGATAATTATGGTACACACAAATTGCTGTCCTCCTTTTCAGTTTCCTACAATACGCTACGAGTTAGATTTAGAAAACAGTTGTAATCGGTGCGTTAAAGTCCCAGATGCGTTCTGTTCGTAGTTGTGGCGCAATCTTACGAAGTTGAAGCCGACAACGAGTATGTTATTCGCGGCAATTCGGCCGTAATGAAGTGCGAAGTGCCTTCCTTCGTATCCGACTTTGTGGTCGTCGAAAACTGGCAGGATTCACAAGGGAATACGTACATAAAAGGCGCCGAATTCGGTACTTAAACTGCAATTGCAGCGCACGGTTTATTTAAATTGTCAAAACGTTTGTTTTGTTCGTAAATAATTTTTATATTTTTACAATTGTCCCAGTTGTGCAACAATTCTATCAGAGTCGCGTCATCGACGAATTCGTGCTTCGAGGCAACACCGGCATTCTGAAGTGTTTGGTGCCGAGTTTCGTTACTGATTTCGTGATCATCGAAGCGTGGATTGCCGAAGATGGCACTACCTTTAAATATGATCCGGATATTAGCAGCAAAAGCAAGAGTGGTAATTTTAATCGCACTAGGATAAATGATATGTTACAGAGCAGTCGGAAATAAGAGTACAGTCAAAGATGTGTTGATTTTATCGTTAATTTTTGATCGTCTTGTGCTTTCAGTTGTGAATCAATATTACGAAGCGCAAGTCTACGACGTGTTTGTGATTAAGGGTAACACGGCCGTCTTCAAATGCCATATTCCCTCGTTCGTGTCCGATCACGTCGAGGTGATCGCGTGGCAGGACACTGGGGCCAATAAATACTTAATGCCTTCGGCTGCCGGCGATTACGGTACTTGAGCGCATATTACCCATTTCCCGATAACCAATCTATTATACGTTGCTTTTTATTTGTTTTTCATCTATTTCTAGCTGGATATTTTACTTACATTTGTAAAATCTACTAGAAATAGAGTACAACTACATCCTGCATGTACTTAATGACTTGTTAGTACATTTTTTAATTTGCAATTTAATCCGATGTCATTTTAACCTTCTACTTCATAATAATTGTCATACGCACAGAGAATGCTCTACTTTCAACAAAAGCTGGGTTTTCACTTAGAATTCTCCTGCAAGTAGTACTAGCACCTGTTGATTCGACTGTTTTTCATCCTTGATAGTCCTTGTTGGTTTGCCCTTTCCTTGTCTCGCCATTAATCCGTCTTATCGCTTCGTCTCGTTTGCGCTCCGGAGTCACGTTAGTTTCGGGGACTGAATATTATACGCGGTGCGCGTGTGCAAAACCTCTATTGTCGCGTTCTCTTGACCCAAATATTCACCCTCGTGCATTCACCCACGTCAACCCGTGCAATTTTCGCAACCCGTGCTTTCAACCGCTAATGCGACAAGATTTGATATAAAATATTTGCTCCACGCATTATCGTCGATAGTGTATAAAATGCGCTTGATCTTTAACCCGCGATAAGGATTTACATTTCAACTCTACAACTGTTTATTGTTTATGGTTTCAGTTACAAATAATTCATATTAAATGAATTGTGTGTGTTCATGCTGAGATCACGATTTCACTAGTAATTTAACACATGCTTTGATGCGTTATCAATTAGTATTTATTTTCGTTTTGCAGTCGTTTCCCAAGCGTACGCCGCGAACGTGATGGACGAGAGTGTGTTGAATGGCAACACGGCGGTCATCAAATGTCACATTCCCAGTTTCGTTAGCGATTATGTATTCGTTACTTCGTGGCTGCAGGTGGAATCCAGAAAGGAGTTTCATCAGACGGATACATACGGTATGCGTCTTAATTAAAGCAAAACCGAAAACAATTCCGTATGCCACAAAATCATTAATAAAACAACAAAAAAGCAAATTAAAACTAAAAGTTAATTATTGACGGTCGTTGCACTCGAATTACGAATACGCCATTTTTTATCGTGGATTCTCGGAAGTAAATTGATTAAAATCAACGCATCTGGGACTTTACTTTCCACTGTTTCGTTGTTTTATCTTTCCTTTCTTTGAATTCCAAGTAGTTTATATTCTGTATGCTTTTTAATGATTAATAGTTATTAATATCCTGCATGCTTATCAATATTTATATAATTTTATATTAACCGCAATTAATGTAGTGGTCATGTGCTTGCATATCTAACGTTTCTTCATGATTTGGTTGATTTATGACTAATTTTTATGTGGTTTTCCAAATATAGATAGCAAATACTTGGTACTCCCCAGCGGTGAGCTGCACATTCGTGACGTCGGACCGGAAGACGGCTACAAGTCCTACCAATGTCGCACCAGGCATCGTCTCACCAACGAAACTCGCATGAGCGCAACGAAAGGTCGTCTTGTCATCACCGGTATGCAAACTTTTCTCAAAATAACTCACAACACTACATACACTTACACACGAGCATAAATTGCATTAAACACGACCCAAATCTCGAACATTTACGCACATTCCGAGCGCGTACAGCATACAGTTGGGCATATTTTCCGGCATTAATGCGGTTTGTAATTTGCTTCTTTGATGGCAGCTGTATGCGTACGTGCAGAAGAAGTCGAAGACGCAAATCACTTCAAGCGGGCAGTCGTGATGCTAGGAATGTAAATCGTTTAAGCGTAAACGATTAGTCTGGCTTCAGAGTATAGATATGCGAATGTAAACCGTCTTGGGTTCTAATATGCGGCGCGACGGGTCGATGAGACGCGAGAAATTATAATAATAGACTATCGAAGTAATGTATCCAAACAATTACGATGGCAGAACAATGCGAATGAAAATTTGTAGTCGACACGTCAATTATATTTCGATTTTAGTCGACGCGTATTTTGAATATTAAATTGGGTTTGCCGTTGATTTCAAGCCTACAACACATAAATAATTCATAGAGAACTTTGTTGTACAGTAGTGTACGAGTAGATATTATTTTAACTTTATTTTACTGATCCATACGCCTCTATGAATTTGATTAATTATTGTCTGAGGATTCGTAAATCGATTGAGTTTTTCAACGAATCTATTAATAAACCATGAATGAAGCACGTGTCTGTTCCGATTTGGCGATGTTGATGTAGTGCTCTGCTAAATTAAAACAAAGGTCTTTACCGCGACGCGAATTGAATTCGTCCTTCATCAAACGTCAATCTCGGTTTACCATCGACTGCGTCGCGAACAAGCTTTTACTTTCGATGTGATTGGATTTTTGGGGAGAGATTTAAAAGCCTAAATAAAATATTCATACGGAAAGGGTGTGAACGGTAGATGTATGAGATTTGTTCATGCCACATTAGGGAACCAATGGGAAGTGTGAAGGAAATTAATCCTGCTCTATAATGTAGTGATTTGCGTGTTCGCTGCGTCTATGCTCGTGAAATACCAACCACAAACACGAACACACTAATATTAACGCATTTATTAATGATAATTTATGGGAAGATTAAGCAGTTTAATGTAATGCGTTAATATTATAACATTAGACTACATTATGGTAAAATAATAAATATTTTATGATCGAGAATTACTTTACCACATTGTAGATAAATAAATATGCGTGATTTCTTTATGACTAATTGCGAATAATTAGTAAATTAAATCTAGAGAATGTTAATCATCACTTTATTTACATACAGGATTAGCAATGAAGATAGCACGCACGTTTTTTCAAACACAACACTCTTATTACACAACTATTGTAATGAAAATTAATGCAAAACAAACAGATGGTAAAACAATATCATTATTTAAACACAGTTCCCACGCATTGAAGTTTATACAACACTCTAATATCTTGGGGAATAATTAAATTGGATTTGTTTTGCATAAGTTTTCATATTTTAAAATAAATATACCTGAATGTTGGGATAGGGTACCCTTGCTTCTCGTACACTGCGGCGGGCACTTTTTGATATAAATTCCGGAGTTTATTATAAATTATAAAAATTATCATTGCGCGATCCTTTCACCAATCCTTAAACCTTTGATTGGGTACCCTGGCCTGATTACAAAATGCGACATTATTGTATTCAGAACCTGTTGGGAGCGTTTTGCCTAAGTTGTCATTTGAGGTGAAGAAGGAGAACCGACAGCCGTCAGGCATTGCTATAGATTTATTATGCCCAGCGCAAGGATTTCCCATTCCCAATAGGAGGTAATTTCAAAGCTGATTGTGTCGTTTGTTACGCACCCCAACATTTTCGTTTTTTATTGTATGGTTTACATATTCGTATCAATGGTGTGTAAATTGTGGCTTTTGTTGCATTGGTATAGAACCCGTTGGAAGCGTTATGCCGAAATTCCCAACTACTGATAGCTCCAGATCGTTTAAAGGTGTTGCCGATGAAAGTTTAACGTTGCTCTGCCCGGCACAAGCGTTTCCGGTTCCTGTTATCAGGTAGGATAGGGCGTTCCCCATTCCAACATGATAGGTCATTTTTTAACTTTTAAAGACACTAGTAGATGTTAATTTTATCATTTAGAGCCTGTGGGTAGTGTTAAACCAAAATTTCCCACAACCGAGAGTTCTAAAACCTTCAGCGGATTTATGGGCTCTAGTTTAACGCTTTTGTGTCCTGCACAAGCGTTTCCGGTTCCACTTATCAGGTATTTAACGAATTAATGTTTTAGAGATTGTAGGGGTGCCCTATTTGTTTGTTATATTAGTTAGTTGTAAGCTGGTACTCTTTTCAGAGCCCATGGGTCAAGTCAAACCTAATATACAGAAACTACCTGCAATTGATGATTCATCAATCGGGTCTACTTTGGCACTGTTGTGTCCTGCTCAAGCGTTTCCCGCACCACTTTATAGGTACTGTAATCAAGGGTATTCTATTCCGTATTCCACCTTCATGAATGTGTTTTATTAAGTCGAGTCACTTGTTGTGCTAATTAGAGCCTGTGGGCACTGTTCAACCTCGTCTCACATCTGGTGATCAGTCTCGCACATCACGCACGATTTCTAATGGAAGTGCTACACTTCTATGCCCCGCACAAGCTTTTCCGGTGCCATTGTACAGGTATAATTGCAGGGTACCCATATCCTTCTATTATACGATTTTTTCTAATTAATGCATGATTGTGTAGAACCGGTCGGCACGGTAGCGCCAAGATGGACGAGTGGCACGTCTAAAATTCAGACATTAGATGGTCGGGAAGCTTCTACTCTCACGCTATTGTGTCCTGCACAAGCGTACCCTGTACCTAATTTCAGGTAATTCATTTGTATTAGCTTAACAGTGAAATTGTTTAGAACCGGTGGGTAGCGTTAAACCAAAATTCCCCACAATGGATAAGAGTCGTGCTTTTGAGGGGGTAGTGCACCTCAGCTTGACGCTATTGTGCCCGGCTCAGGCCTTTCCGGTACCTACGATTAGGTAACTGACTCTTTTGTTGCATGTCTCATAATTACGTAGAACCGATCAGTAGCACATTGCCCAAAGTGTCGTCGAAGAACAAGTTCGACGTAATTGAAGTATCTGCCCAGGCTACCTTAGGCCTAGTATGTCCGGCGCAAGGATACCCTGTCCCAAATTTCAGGTTTGTTTATATTTTTTTCTATCTGTAGAACCTATGGGTACTCGAGCTCCTACTCTCTTGTCAAACGTAAAAGCTACTTGGATTGTAACTAAGGCAGAATTCTCTATGGCTATTTTATGCCAAGCTCAAGGATATCCAGCCCCACAGTTTAGGTACAATTCATATTTATAAGTTTACTAGAAGTAAGGGTATCACTTTCCAATCAATCGAAAACCACAACTGAACATCCACTATTGCAAACATTACGTGTTTCCAGAACCTGTTGCTTCGCGACCTCCAAGTCTCTTATTCGACGTGAAAAGCACGACAATTGAAAAAGTGCAAAGTTACGCGTTGTCTTTATTGTGTCAGGCTCAGGGATTCCCAACACCCGCATTCAGGTGATTTGTCCTTTGAATACCTCTTTCTAATGATTTGTCATCTTGATAGATCCGGTTGGAACACGAGCACCTAAATTGCTCGCTGATTCTAAATTGCGATACATCGAGCGCGAGTCAGGTTTAGAAATTCCACTGTTTTGTCAGGCGCAAGGCTTCCCCGTTCCAAACTACAGGTATTACTAGCTCGATTCTATTTTTATTCGTGTTTATAGAACCAGTTGGTGTAAAAGCACCAGTTTTTTCAACTGATAACGTGGCTAATGGCTTTATAAGACAAGAAGGCACTTCTTTTGCTCTATTGTGTCAAGCTCAAGGGTCTCCTATTCCAAAAATTAGGTAGGTTGATATTTCCACATATTAAATAGTAAATTAAATATTCAGAACCACTTGGTACCAAGAAACCTACATTCTCGAACGACTTAAAGAGTATGGGTTATGAACGATCAATGGGATCAGACCTTTCATTACTGTGCCCAGCGCAAGGGTTACCTTTACCTAACTTTCGGTAGGCTATACTTTTTTACATTCCTATTTGTATTATCATGTACTCGTAGAACCGCTTGGTACCAAGAAACCAACGTTTTCCAATGATTTGAAAGTGATTGGTTACGAACGAAATGAGGATTCGAATATTGCCCTCTTGTGCCCAGCACAAGGATTACCTATTCCCAACTTCAGGTGCGTAATTACTTTCTATCTAATTTTAATATCTTCGTGTAGAACCTGTTGGTTTTAAGAAACCATCCTTCTCGTCCGATTCTAAAGGATTTATATACGAAAGAGAAGTAGATTCTAGCTTTGCAATCTTATGCCCGGCACAAGCTCTACCCATTCCTACATTCAGGTAAATACAGTTTCACATGGTTTCAAAGTAGATATTATTTATTCTTAGAACCCGTGGGTACAAAACCTCCAACATTTTCTTCCGACTCAAACCTGTTCTCGTCTAAACGTCGCGAAGGCGTAAGTTTTGCGCTCTTGTGTCCTGCGCAAGCTTTACCGGTCCCTGCATTCAGGTAATTAGCATTTAAAGTAAATAATGCCTACTTTTGCATATAGAACCCGTTGGGAGTAAACCTCCTTCATTCTCATCTCTATCAAAGAGTTTTACGTACGAACAACATGCCATGAGCAGTTTTGTTCTTCTTTGTCCTGCTCAAGCGTTACCAGTCCCATCATTCAGGTAAATTTAAATTCTTGATTAGTAAATAATATAAAACATTCCTTTAGAACCCGTTGGTAGTAAAGCACCAACATTCTCATCTGAATCGAAAATATTCTCGTCTGAACGTCGGGAAGGTCATAGCTTTGCTCTAGTCTGCCCTGCTCAAGCATTACCTGTTCCAGCATTCAGGTAAAACATTGAACCATTGTTGAGACATGTTTTTTGCGTTATATAGAACCTGTTGGAAGTAAACCCCCGTCGTTTTCGTCACTATCAAAGATTTTTTCATACGATCAGCAAGCTAACGGTAGCTTTGCATTACTCTGCCCTGCGCAAGCATTACCCGTTCCATCATTCAGGTAAATTTGAGTGCATACTCTTATTAATTATAAAATAATACTATATATAGAACCTGTGGGGAGCAAAGGACCCACATTTTCATCCGAATCTAAATCGTTCTCGTACGATCGTCTAGCAAAGAGCAGTTTTGCATTACTGTGTCCGGCACAAGCGCTACCAGTCCCAACATTCAGGTCGGTTTAGCTAGGCTTTAATAATGATAATTTTTGTATATAGAACCCATTGGTTTAAAAGCCCCATCATTTTCAAATGATGCAACGAGTATATCTCTTACTCGTGCAGTTGGTCAGAGTTTTAGCTTGTTGTGTCAAGCGCAAGGGTTTCCTACTCCAGCCTTCAGGTATGGGTATAAAAGTTTATAAACACTATTTTTATATCACGTAGAACCTATTGGTTATACACCTCCTCGACTTCCCCCAAAATCTAAGTTGGATGCTGTTGTTGGACGGAATGAGAAAGTGGTAGTCTTACCATGTGATGCACAGTCTCATCCAGCACCCGCATTCAGGTTGGTAGGATTTTTAGTATTACGCAAAGCAAGGGCTCCCAACATTTCAGGATTACATAAATTTAAATATATTAGGGTCCGAAGGAAATTTCGTCCTTTTCCAGAACCAACAAACAACATAGCCCCGAAAGCCCTTGATCAGAAAATTGGTTTTACATTACTTTCGACTCCCGAAAAGCAAGACGTGTATTTAATGTGTGCGGTAGTTGGGTACCCCGTTCCCTTATTCAGGTTTGTTATCAATGTTACCACTTTAATCCTATTCCAGAACCTACAAATAACATCCCACCGAAAGCCCTCGACGCCAAGTTTGGTTTCTCAATAATTGCAGCGCCCGCAAAACAAGTTGTGTTCTTAATGTGTGCGGTAGTTGGGTACCCGGTCCCCTTATTCAGGTTAGTTATTATGTGTATTCAATACTATCTTCGGGTGAATTACAGAACCCACAGGCAAAATAGCTCCAAAAGTACCGGGGCAAAAATACGAGGGTGGAAAAATTGTGTTAAATCCGACTAATTCAATAGTCGTCATGACTTGTGACGTTGTCGGTTATCCGGTCCCAACATTCAGGTAATTGCGAACACTTGCTTATTACGCATGGTGCACGCTTTCAGAACCAACCAATAATGTCGCCCCTAAAAAGATCGGCGCTCAGTTTGGGGGTTGGATCGTGTTAAATGTTCGTCAAAGCAAAATTGCTTTCATGACATGCTTGGTTAGCGGGTACCCTGTCCCAAGATACGCGTAAGTTTGTATTTTAGCCTGAGGTAAATACTTATTTCAGAGCCTACTAATAATGTTGCGCCTAAAAAAGACGGCGAGATTTTCGAAGGTTGGAAAGTGCTGTCTATACCCGTAGGCGGCGATGCTTGGTTAGGTTGTCAAGTGACTGGTTATCCTGTACCTAGATTTTTGTAAGTTAACTTTGAGTCAATCATGCTAGGGGCGCAGGGATTTACACCAGCACAATTTGCTTCTTTATTTAGTTATCATATTATCACACATAGTTACATTTGGGGAGGTGAGTTTTGGTTTTCCTTATTGCATGGAGGCGGTAAATAGGATTCTGACTTTCTTTTGCACAAGCAACTCATTATGACGTCGTTAATCATAACATGGCTTGGTGTTTTCCATTTTGGTGCTTTTGATGTGTTTATATAATGTATGTTTCACTTCAAGAATAATTTATATTGTGACATATAATGAGGATGCAAAATTAACAGAAAGAATCCTAATTACTGGTTCTTTTCAGAACCAACCAATAATCTTGCACCGAAATTGGTTGGGGAAAGAACCGCATGGAAAATATCTACTTGGTCTTTAAACTCGAGCGTCTGGATCCTATGTCCGGTTGTTGGATATCCTTATCCTTCTTTCAAGTAAGTTTAGAATAATTATTTAAAAGGGCCGGAAAATGTCAATTTTATTAGACATTAAGTCCTTAAATTAATTACGAAGCCAGGGTACTCTATCTAATATATCAAAGTCGGGAAATTAAATTACATTATGAATATTACCAGAACCGACGGGTCAGACCGGACCTAAACTCGCGGGTGACGGCCTTACGAAGCAACAGTCAGCTGCCGGCGGCGCGGTGGCGCTGTTGTGTGACGCGCAGTCGTTTCCGGTGCCCAAAAAGAGGTAAAAGTTTTCCCTTGCACTTTCTACATCCCACTTTCGCTTCCATCGATTTCCTACCGCACAGCGTGACGCTGCCACCGTTCAACCGCTCTATTGGCTTGTTCAAACCCGCCTCCCTTACGGCCCTCGAAATGCAACAAGTGGTTCGCTTCACAACTCCGTTGTGGCGGTCGTTAAACTTTCACCCAGTGCCGCCACCAGTCAGTAGTACGTACGAGCGATGGCGTACCCGACCTTGAACGCGGGGAATTTCGTGAGTATTCAGTGGGTTCACATTGATTTTCAGAACCGACCGGATCAGTGGGACCAAGGTTGAGCAAACACAGCATCGATATTAAAACGGCACGCATTAGCACCAATGTGGTCGTACTATGCTTGGCACAGGCTTTTCCTGTGCCAGTATTCAGGTAGAAAGAGAGTTTATTTCAAAATATTTAAAATTAATTAAAATTTATAATTTTATCGAAACTTAAAAATTGAAAAGTTTTTATTACTTTCTTTTGCGAATACGTAATCCATTGTATATTTGAAATATTTATTTATAAACTTTACGTGAATATGGGATTTACAATTTTAATATGTTGAGTTAACATGTTTCGCCCAGAGGGCGAAAGTGAGTTTTATGAAGATGCCCTCTGGGCGAAACATGTTAACTCAACATATTAAAATTGTAAATCCAATATTCACGTAAAGTTTATAAATAAATATTTGAAAAGTTTTTGTGATCATTTACTAAAGAACGCAATTGGTTCTTATTTCATAACAATATTAAGATAAAAACTTTTCAATTTTATAAGTAATTTATTAAGATTCTATTTTCGAATATCTTTTGCAGATGGTATAAATTCGTCGAAGGAACAAGCCGAAAACAAGCAATTGCTCTGAATGAGCGGGTGAAGCAGGTTGCAGGCACTCTGATTATTCGCGAAGCTAAAGTTGAAGATTCTGGGAAATATCTTTGCGTTGTCAATAATTCTGTTGGAGGCGAAAGCGTTGAAACTGTCCTGACTGTAACTGCCCCCTTGAAAGCAACCATTGAACCCAAAGTACAAACCATTGATTTTGGTCGTCCTGCTGTATTCACTTGCAACTTCGAAGGCAACCCGATCAAAACCGTAAACTGGCTCAAGGATGGCCACAAATTGGACCACACCGAGGCTATTCTCCGCATCGAAGCCGTACGCAAAGAAGACAAGGGCATGTATCAATGTTTTATCCGCAACGACCAAGAGAGTGCCGAAGCAACCGCCGAACTCAAACTGGGCTCCCGTTTCGAACCGCCACTTATCAAGCAGTCCTTCGATGAGCAAACACTCAGACCCGGCCCATCTACTTCACTGTACTTGTCCTGCAGCGCATCCGGCACACCTACACCCGAAATTACCTGGGAATTGGATGGACGTCGTCTCTCTAACACCGATCGTTATCAAATTGGCCAATATGTTACTGTGAATGGTGATGTGGTTTCAAATCTAAATATCAGTGCGATTCATACCATCGACGGTGGTATTTACAAGTGCGTGGCTAGCAGTAAAGTTGGTTCTGCTGAGCATCAGGCTAAAATCAGTGTTTACGGTGCTCCGTTTGTGCGTTCTATGGAAAAGCAAGCTATCGTTGCTGGTGGCACCCTTATTGTGCATTGCCCTGTGGCAGGATACCCGATTGACACCATCGTCTGGGAACGTGACTCACGTGTGCTTCCTACCATCAAGAAACAGAAGGTATTCCCCAACGGCACGCTTATCATCGAGAATGTTGAGAGGTCTTCTGATCAAGCTACCTACGTCTGCGTCGCCAAGAACTCACAAGGACACAGCGCACGTGGAACACTTGAAGTTCAAGTCATGGGTGAGTGATTATTCAGTTATTATTAGTACATAAGTTTCAGGATTGAACGGGCCATTGATGATACCAGTGTGGGACGATATATTTCATGTGATTTTGCAAATTTACAGGAATTTACTTTCAGAGATGATTTTATATGGTGTGTTTTATGTCGGAAATATTTTTTACTTTATCACAGGTGATTTTTGTATTTTATTTCAAAGGAACAAGTTGTTTTGCTAGTAATGCGGCTGGAAAATCGTTGAAAGCGTCGCGTTACAAGTGAATGGTGCCACATGAATTAAAAGTCACCGTAGCAAGGCAATTACGCTTCAAATTTTGCTCTTATAGTTCAGCCACAGATCGTTGCATTCGATTTTGGGGATGAGCCCATCAATTGGGGCGACGTAACTTCACTACAGTGTTTAGTCAACAAGGGTGACCTTCCTGTCGAGATCGTTTGGACATTTAATGCACAACCTGTTGCATCAGTGCAAGGCGTGTCCGTCGGAAAAATGAACAAACGCATCAGCACGCTTAGCATTGATAACGTGCACGCCGAACACGCCGGAATATATACGTGCACAGCCAAAAACAAGGCTGGAGAAACATCACACTCTGCCGAATTGAATGTCAATGGTATTCGCGTTGTTTAATTCATTATTTCACTCTTTTAATTTCTATTCAGTTGCTCCACAAATTTCCCCATTCTTCTTCGAAGACTTGGCCAATTCGGGCGACACTGTCTCTATTCAATGCACAATTACGAAAGGTGACATGCCCCTAAACATCACTTGGACTTTGAACAATAAGACAATTGGCGATGATTACGGCATTACCGTGATGAAATTGAAGCGCTTCTCGACACTTAACATCGATTCAGTACAGGCCGAACATGCTGGACTATTCACTTGTATTGCGAGCAATCGTGCCGGCGAGACTAGCTATTCAGCGGTTCTAAACGTCAACGGTAATTATGTGTAGTGCACGCGTATTAATGCGAAATTGTTGACATACAGTGGCTCCGCAAATCGTTCCGTTCTTCTTTGAAGACTCCGTTAATTCCGGCGACACTGTTTCCATACAATGCATCATTTCCAAAGGCGATTCACCCTTGAAACTAATTTGGACTTTGAACGATAAAATTATTGAATCTGATGAGCGAATTCTTATTATGAAGACGAAACGTGTTAGCTCGTTGACTATCGAATCAGTTCAAGCGGAGCATGCTGGTGAATTTGCGTGCAAAGCGTCGAATGTTGCTGGGGAGAGTTCATACTCGCAAATTCTGAATGTCAACGGTACTATTTGTCTATCAAGAAGTTGTAGCACATTTGTTCTTGCATGTAATATTTAGAAGAATTTTCTTTTGGTCAGTACCACCTCAAATATTTCCCTTCGAGTTTGGAGAGTCGTTGAACGAAGGTGAAACCGCTTCATTACAATGCAGTATTACAAAGGGTGATAATCCAGTTGAGATTAACTGGTACATTAATGGAAAACCAACGAGCTACTACGAAGGTGTTTATACTGGGAAACTAGGGAAACGTATGAGTAGCTTAAGCATCGAGAGTGTAGGCGCAGATCATTCTGGTGATTATACGTGCAGCGCTACAAATACAGCAGGATCAACGAATTTCACCACAACATTATCAGTCAACGGTATTTTGGGGATTACTTTTCAATAATTATTTTTATTTCCAAACAGTACCTGTCCAAATTTTACCATTTGATTTCGGAGAGGAGCCGATCAATTCCGGCGAATTCGCAACTGTTCAATGCGTTGTTTCGAAAGGCGATTTTCCAATTTCATTCACATGGAAACACAACGATAAGGAATTAGACCAATCTTTAGGTGTTACTGTGTCGAATACCAATCGACGCATTAGTACTTTGTCTATCGAATTAGTTCAAGCTGTGCACATGGGAAATTATTCTTGCACTGCTCACAATCCCGCTGGGGAAACCACCCATTCCGCTGAACTGAACGTCAACGGTAACTTTAATCAACAATATGTTCGACTTCTTTAGTTTGCAATGGGTTATATTCTTTAGTTCTTGCTTGAAATTCCTCAGTAGAGTTTGAATTTTATTTCAGTTCCTCCCCAAATTCTACCTTTTGATTTTGGAGAAGATGTTCTTAATTCCGGCGAATCGACATCTTTACAATGTTCGATTATCAAAGGAGATCTTCCAATAGACATTGTTTGGTTACACAACGGTAAACCAGTTGAAAGTGGAGCTGGTTTAACAATGATGCGTATGAACAAAAAGATATCGATGTTGTCAATTGATCCGATTAATGCGGAACACTCGGGTGAATTTACCTGCCTTGCGAAGAATAAAGCAGGGTCAACGAGCCATTCGGCAATGCTTCTTGTTAACGGTAACTTTTAATTCAACTAATAGTTTTTGGTTTTTATATTTCCCAGTTGCTCCCATTATCTTACCCTTTGACTTCGGTGAGGAACCGATAAATTCTGGTGATTCTACGTCTCTGATGTGTTCAATTAGCAAAGGAGATTTACCAATTGATATTTATTGGCTACATAATATCAAAACAATCGATTCAAACGATGGTATAATTGCGAATAAAGTGGGCAAAAAGGTTGCGAATTTGATCATCGACAGCGTACAAGCTTTCCATGCTGGCGAATATACTTGTGTGGCCAGGAACAAGGCTGGGATGACCAGCTACTCAACATATTTACATGTTAATGGTACTTATTCAGTGTGTTTTGCTTGCTTTTTCCAATGTAGATGTTTTTGCGTATATTTATTCCTTTATTCATTTAATCCAAGATATTTCGAAGACGATGTTTATAAATTACACTTTACAAAGGGTAATAGACTTATTCGTTCCACATTAATTATGAATGGTATTGATAGATCATTCATCATTTATGATTTCAAGTTGTCCCTCAAATACTCCCATTCGATTTCGGCGAGGAGCCAATTAATTCTGGCGAATTGACTTCTGTAACCTGTGCGATTAGCAAGGGCGACTTGCCTATGAATATAACATGGTTACGTGAAAATCAACCTGTTGAGCGAACCGAAGGCATTTCGACAGTTCGAGCTAATAAAAAGGTTAGCATGTTAACCATTGATAACGTACAGGCTCATCATGTGGGCGAATACACCTGCGTTGCGACTAATTTTGCTGGGACTACCAGTGTATCATCGTATTTACACGTCAACGGTACAAATATTACTACGTTTTATTTTTATTTTTTATACTTATATCCATATCATCCCAAAAATCGTGCCCAACAAATACTTAGATTCGTTTAGGATAAAGAATGAGATATAATTGCCTTGCTACGGTCTTTTCAACTAATTTAAACGAAAATTAATTCAATTTTTTGTGGGTGACATTCAGTGTTACCACAGATAATTCCCTTCGATTTCGGTGACGAACCGATTAATTCTGGAGACATGACTTCTCTCATGTGCACTGTGAGCAAAGGAGATCTCCCTGTTAAAATCAGCTGGATGCACAATAACAAAACTATCAACGAGGCCGACGGTATTTCGATCAACAAAGTTAACAAGAAGTTAAGCACACTGAGCATTGAATCAGTGCAAGCTATTCACGTGGGCGAATATTCATGTGTTGCAACAAACAAAGCGGGCACAACGAGATACTCTTCTTATTTGCATGTCAACGGTACAACTTCAAAACATTCTTAGTAGTTATTTATTTTTTGCTTGCTTAGTATTGCCCCAAATACTACCTTTCGATTTCGGTGAAGAACCTATCAATTCCGGAGACTCAACCACAATGATGTGCTCGATTAGCAAAGGCGATTTACCAGTCAGCATTACATGGATGCATAACAATAGCACTGTGCAGACAACAGATGGATTATTTATAACTTCTAGCAAAAAGTTCAGCACGCTTACTATTGATGCGGTGCGTGATGTTAATATGGGCGAATATACTTGTGTCGCAAAGAATAGGGCGGGCACAACAACATATTCATCATATTTACACGTTAATGGTAGATATCTACATCAATTGCTATTTTTGTATTTTAAGTTCTTCCGCAAATTCTTCCCTTTGATTTCGGTGATGAACCGATTAACTCCGGAGATTCGTTGTCGATAATGTGTTCGATTATAAAAGGCGATTTACCAGTCGCAATTACTTGGCTACATAACAACGAAACTTTGTCCAATGGTGAAGGCATTTCCATTACTCAAGTGAATAAGAAATTAAGCACGCTGAGCATTGATTCAGTGCATGCCTTGAACATTGGCGAGTTTACATGTGTCGCCTCGAATAAAGCAGGCGCTTCTACATATTCATCATATTTACACGTCAACGGTATTTATATTTCATTCTGTAGTATTCTGGTGCTTTTAGTTCTTCCACAAATCCATCCTTTTGATTTTGGTGAAGAACAAATCAATTCTGGCGAATCAGTATCGCTCACTTGTTCGATAAGCAAAGGCGATTTGCCAGTTCAAATTTCGTGGCTTTATAATAATCGCACGATTGACGAATTCGAAAATAGCGGCATACTAGCAAGACAAGCTTCGAAAAAAATTAGCAATTTGGAAATTGATTCGGTACAGGCTAATCATATCGGCGAGTACACATGCACGGCAACAAACAAGGCCGGAACTACAACATATTCCGCATATCTTCATGTCAACGGTTTGTTTGATGAAATTTTACGTTTATTTAGTTTTACCACAAATCCACCCTTTCGACTTCGGCGAGGAGACCATTAACTCCGGAGAATCCGTTTCGTTAACTTGTTCAATCAGCAAGGGTGACTTGCCGGTGAAAATTTCGTGGCTATATAATAATCAGTCAGTCGAAACTAGTTATGGTATTGTAACAACTCAGGTGTCGAAGAAAATGAGCACTTTGGAAATAGATTCTGCTCAAGCTGTTAATATTGGGGAATATACCTGTATTGCAACGAATAAAGCTGGCACCACGACGTACTCGGCATATCTTCATGTTAACGGTACATAGTAGTTATGTGTTGCTAATATTATGTTTTAATTTA